GAAGAAGAAGAAGAAACAAAAAACCCAACAACAACAACAATCTAGACTTTAAGTGAATACATTTGTTCATCACTTTAGATGAACAGTAACACTTCATCAGCAATTTGTCATCACTTTTTATATAGGACATTCATTTGCAGATAGATGCACAGAATACACATGCATGGAATTTTATCTGTGGCTCATGTGAATTACTGCATCATGTGAAACTTACGTTTTGGGAATTTGCATCACTTCCTTCACTTGAACCTTCACTCGCACTCTCAACACTGCAAAACATATCAGCAGATCAATTAAGAGAACAAATTAAATAATCACAAAGTCCCAGACCATTTTATGTTTTCATACATGTTTGACAACAAGCAGGTTCAAATAATTTATCGAGTTCACACATCTACTAACAAGCAAACATGATATTAATTGTGAGAGCACTACAAAACATATCCGCAGAACACATTGAGAGAATAAATCAACTAGTCTGAAAGTCCCACTATCCCAGACCATTTAATGTTTCAAACATGATTGACAACAGGCAGATTCTAATAATGTATATCAAATTCACACATCTGCTAACAATCAAACATGACATGTATTTGGAGAGTGCAATGAGATACAACATTATAATGTACGAATCCCGGGAGCCAAGCGAGAGAAAAAGAAGAGAACGAAGCAATGTCAAGAAAAGGAAAGGAGAGGTAAACGTTAAAACATTGACATCTTTTTCATTGGCAATTCCAAAGAACTAATGAAAACAGAGCGGAAATTACATAAAAAGGGTAAATTAATATGTTACCAATAAAGTTTAAATGTCATTTATTTGTGGCTCCTTCACTTTATAATTACCATATTCTCCTTACCTTTTAGAATGTAGACCATTTGGAGTGGCAGATGTTTTACCAGGCTCATTAGTTTTCCCAGTAATCATATTTAAACTGCCCAAACTTTCCTTGGACCTTTTGATTGGCAATTTCCCTTTTGCCTCAGATGACTTGCCATCCACCTCTGTGTTGCCTGGAGCATTGCCCTTTTATGCACAAGTCAGATAGTTTCATGAAAGTTAAGTACTGTAATTTTATGAGAATAAAGAAAATGGAAAAACATCTTAAGTGCAAAAGATTACTCACAGAAGCTTCAACAATACCATTTGGAGAAGGCATAGCAAAGGGACTAAAAGGATAAGATCCCTAAACAAGTTTGATGGAAAATGAAAAGCTTAGTAAAGTTTCAGTGATATTATTATATTAACTGCAATCGCCAAATATAAATAAAATTGGTGGGTAAATACCGGAGCCATAGTTGGATGAGCGTAAATACTTCCATGAGGATACATGACATATGGATGAGGTGGAGTGCCATACGGTGGAATAAATTGCTGGAAAGAGCGAAATTTAGATGCCACACAAATAGGAGAAAATCTCAAATCATGATAAACATGAACCATCCAGCATCAGCAACTGATCAACAGCATTAGATGTAAAACACTGAGACATCAATAACCACACTATATTGTTAATTACAAATGATCACATAATGTAGTAGTACCATTTAAAATAATCAGGAACTAAGTAGTGCATGGATTTATTTCACCTATCAAAGGCAAAATGAACGTTCTCTGATATATACGGAGTCTACAAGTATTAGAATTCTATCTGCAATATAATATTTAGAGAACCACCGGACCGGACGCTGACTTGTTGCCATTCTGACTCCAAGGAGGCCTTGATAATTCCCTAAGACTCTTGGCATAATTTTCATTCGGATATAAAATATTATTGGACGAGCCATTACCATTTAAGAAAAACTTTACATAAGAACACTAAAAAAGTTCCACAACTATGATTTAGATGGGTATAGTAACTGTTTACATCCCCAAGCAGTTATGTCATCAGTAAACTATTTCTTCTATAATAGGTGCAACATTACTTCAAGCCAATCAACTATCCAAAAGCACAAACATAGTTCCAAACTCTTCCACATTTCCAAGCAGCACAACAGCCCGTTAGTTTTGATAAGCACGGCTAGTTATGTTGGATGTCTAAGTTATATGATACTAAAACCGCTTTTAGGAAATTTGATACCTTTTTTCCATAAAGATACTCAGCTGATGTGTAGTATGCCTTAGTTGACATAGGTACATTACTAAAAAACAGGCCATGGTTACATAAAGAAAAATGGATAGCAGCCACTAAACCTATGCAAAATGAAGTTACAGTATGTACTGCAAAGTCAACAGAAAGTTATGGAAACAAAGTTCAAAAGATGCATACTTGGACTCCCCACATATAAGGGTGCGCTTGAGGACTTGATGCTATGAACCCAGGTGGAGGAGGAATGGGAGAATAAGCCTGCAGAGAAAACTGTTAAAATTCTATAACCTTCGTAATGTCAATGACAGAAAGGAAGGGGGTTATCTTTCGAAAAAGTATCTTTTGAAAATGTTAACCTGAAACCCAGACCAATCAGCTGCAACTGCACCAGAAGAAGCCGAAGTCTGGTCCTGAAATTCCAAAAGACATGGAACAATTTTAAAATACGGCAAGAATAACACGAACCCATCCAAAAGTTCACAAGTAATATTACCTGTGCAGCAGGAGTTTTCGGCTCATTTGCTTCTTTCCCCTCCTTACAAGACTTATCCACTTCACCACTACCCATGATTTAAACAAAACTTCCTCTTATTTCACTAACATTGACTTGAAAACCATCCTGTCAAATACATGCCACACACTAATTATTAGGCTAGGAAAAGTTAAAATAAAAGATCATCCATATAGATTCATAACTGAATGCAATTGCAACAATTTTCAGTCCCCGTTCTTATTTATCCCGTAGAGAGAGAGAGAGAGAGAGAGAGAAAGAGAAAGAGAGAGAGATGGGGAAATGTTGAAGGATATTCACAGAAATTAGAATAATCATTAAAGCATGTCAAACATATAGATTCACGCATCATGCATTCATAAAAGTTCATACCGAAAATAGAAAACTAGACCCAACTGGGAGAACAAGAAATAATGAGTCAACCCAGCTCCACAACAGCTTGAATCCCAACTTCTCCAATTTAGCTACAAAGTTCGCAACTTTCCAATTGAACTAACCATTTGTGAAAGAAGAAAACAGGAATATGACCGACTCAAATTTCGGGAATTTCTAAAGCTTGTCAGACTGATTGGGCATAACCTAATTGGGGTGAAATTAGGAAGACAATACAAAATTAGGGCTTTTGCTCGTTAGATCGTCGACATGGTTGAGACTTGCGAGTAGTAGTGCCATGGAAGTGCAGGTGCAGGGTGAGAGAGAGAGAGAGAGCGTGTGCGCGTGCCGATGTGGTGGCCACCGTGGATTTGAAGGGTTGATGATTTGGATCGTGGACTACCTGAGGCTGAGATCGAGTCGCGTACTGCCTCTCAATGTGACGCTGAATTGGCATGTTATATTCTCGTGTCAAATCTTGGTCCATGTATGTAGTAGTTGAGTGGACCGGCCCGACGAGGCACGAAGATTTGGACTTGATCTAGAGTGTGCGATGTATATTGGGCCCCTAAAGTTTTTTTTTTTTTTTTTTTTTTGAGTGCAAAGAAGGAGGTCAAATGCATGAATGATCAATTAGGCTAATATTCTACGGGGATATGATATCCCAATAGTGTCATGGTCAAGCCAAGTGCTTAGGCCTATAGGAGGTGACGTTATCCTCTGCAGCCCAATCGGGCACGAAGCTGTCATGCTCGCTAAGTGGTCAGCTGCAAAGTTAGTTTCCCTATGTACATGCATTACCCTAAC